ATCCAACTTTAAAATGTATGTGGTTATAAGAAAAAAAAACTAAAAATCACATGCTACAAACTAAGGAAATGTGCAAGCTAATTATGTTGGCACCAGAGAATTTGCTAAAAATGAACTTCAGGAATTTTTCAAAACTAGGTCATCAGACTACTGGATTCTTCTAACATGTGGAAACTGGATCTCAAGAAGTGACAAAATAGTCTAGAAAAGAAAGCACAGAATTGTTGTGTTTGGGGGGATAAAGTTGAAGAGATGGTGTCTTGTACAAACAAATGGTATTCCTCTTTAGAATAAACTACATCTTCTGCTTAAGAGACACTTTTGTGACTTTGTAAGAACCTTAGCTTTGCCCAGCCTCAGCTGCCTTATTTGTAAAATACAGGTTAAAAAATCTGCCTAAAGGCTAAGGTCGTATCAAGTGAGTACTTGGCAGGCCTTTCGACTCCATGACCTATTATTCTAGGAAACTTATAATGCCAACACTAAACCAGGGGTTGAGAGAATGTTGCCTTCTTTATACAAAGCCCGACCTTCAAGGTACTTCATTTAACATTTAAAAACCTCGGGGTGCCTGGGTGGCTCAGTCGTTGGGCGTCTGCCTTCGGCTCAGGTCATGATCCCGGGGTCCTGGGATCGAGCCCCGCATCGGGCTCCCTGCTCTGCGGGAGGCCTGTTTCTCCTTCTCCCACTCCCCCTGCTTGTGTTCCCTCTCTCGCTGTGTCTCTCTTTGTCAAATAAATAAAATCTTTAAAAAAAAAAAAATTTAAAAACCTCTCTTAAAAAAAAGAGAAGAATCAAGCACCCCAACTCACTACCTCACCCCCCACCTACCATCCTGGGTTATTAATCCATTTTCTCTACTGCCCCTGTGATATCTCCCAGGAGAACATCACTTCCCCCCTTTAAAGCTCTGGCCCTTTGTTTCCCTTAGCACAATTAAGATGGATTGGGAGATCCAAAAGGATGTTAGTTTAAAATTCAGAAGTCCATAAATCTATCCAGTAGCTATGAACATACCTGGTGCCTAGATCATGGTTTCTTTTTTTTTTTTTTTTAAGATTTTTACTTATTTATTTATTTATTTGAGAGAGAGAGAGAGAATGAGTGTGCGTGTGGGGGTGGGGAGGAGCAGAGGGAGAGGGATAAGCAGACTCTGTACTGAGCACATAGCACTTGATCCCACAACCCTGAGATCATGACCTGAGCCAAAATCAAGAGTCGGACGCTTAACTGACTGAACCACCCAGGCGCCCCAAGATGGCAGTCTCTAAATGCCATTCTCCACAAAAAGGAATCAGGTTTCCTTGAAGACATGGCTGATTCCAAGTGGAGCAGAGGAAGCATAAGATAAGCCTGGAACATTTTTGTTGTGCCAGGAACAGAGGCAGTGCTAAGAGAAAAAAAAAGTCAGGGTGAAAGGACCCGGGAGCCAGATTAAAGGGGTTTCTTATGGTCAAAAATGGTACAATTTGAGTATTAAAATAAGGATAGAAATGGATTATAACTTACTGGATAAAACAAAGGCCCATATTGATAGTAAATAGATGAATGAATGAGGAGAAAGGAGGGTTCTCCTTTGCAGTTAAATGCCAAATGATAAAAGTGGAGGGATTGATAGAGTTAGAAAATCACCATTTTGCAACCTTTATGGTGAAAGTTGGTTTGGGCAAGGATCACGCACGAGGGGATACTAAGTCTAGGCGGGGAATAAAGCGGAGCAGGATATATGTGTATTCTCAGAATGTCTCCTCATAGATTGTTTATTAGTTGCAAAGGGGAAAATAGTAACTATACTGTGGGGAAACCAGACAACCCCTTGATCAATTTTGACCTTGATCAAATTACATCACCAATAAGAAGCAGATGGACATTGTGGACCTTGGGGTTGACTTCCCTGAAAAGAACACACATGATTTACATCATATTCCAGCTCAGAATGCAGAACCTGAATCCAGTCAAGAGGAAACATCAGGAAAAACAAATAGATGAACATTCTATAGAGTGACTGGCCCGTATTCTTTAAAAATGTTAATGTCCTTAATGACAAAGAAGGCTGAAGAACTATTTCAGTTAAGTTTAGTTTACTTTAGTTTAAGGAAACAGAAATATGACAACAAAATGTGATACATGATCCTGGCCTGGGATCTCATATGAGAGGGAAAATGCCATAATGGGCACTATTGGGAAAACTGACAATTTTGGAATAACGGACTTTAAAGTATAGTGTCAATTTTAAACTTCCTGAATTTGATAATTGTGCCATGGTTATATTTAAGATAACATTCTTCTTATGTTGGCTAATTGAATTTAAATTAAAAAAATATTCTTCTTCTTAGGAAATATGCACGAGAGTATGAGAGATAAAGGGGCATATTGTATGAAACCAACTCTCAAACGGTTCAGAAAAAAACATGTTATAGTACATATATAAAAGAATAATAAAGAAAATTTGTCAAAGTGTGAAAAATTGACAAATTTAGGTAAAGAGTATATGGAAGTTCTCTGTAACTATTATATTATTATTATTTTGAAATAAGGAAAATATTTTTAAGGTACATAAACAGAAGAGAACTAGCCAAATGAGGACCTAAGGTGCATAAGAAAAATTCCAAGTGTTTAGGCAAATTCTGACCTTCCTGTAGCTTGCTCCCTTTCATCTACTTTCCTAAAAAGGCTCTTACCATCAACCTCAAGAGCTGCCATATCATAGGTGCCCCACCCAGCTTTTAGCTCCTCAGCCCATGGCCTGCCTGTGATGGTACCATTTTCCTTCCCCAGTCCTGTGGAATCTGGCCACTTGAATACACTGACCGCTCTAAACCAAAAACCAAAACCAAAACAAAACAAAACCTGTTCCAACACTGCAACCTACCCAGGTAGGTATTCCCAATATCCTCGTTTCCTGTTTGATGAAAACATGATTTCCCCAGGTCAAGGGCAAGATGGGTATCCGGACCTACGCATGGCTTCACCCTTCCTGCAAGCAGTAGATCCAGAGCATACAGATCATAAAACGGCCCTAACACTCACACACCTATGAATTATGTATGTGTGACAACAGAAGCAGGCTACGTCTGTGGTTAAGAGCCAGAGGAAGATGGCTGAAATTTGGCTTTGACTCCACCGAGTTATGTGACTGAGAGCCAGTCAACTACTACCTAGAGCTCATTAACAATTCACTCAACATTATCCAGCCAGTAAGTACCACATTCCATTTTAGGAAGCAGTGATACAAAATCTCTGCTCCCAGAACTTACATTCTAGTTGGGTGAGACAGAAAAAAAATTAAGTAAATATATTGATAGATGATAGATAGATAGATAGATAGATAGATAGATAGATAGATGATAAGAGACTGAAATATAGACTATGCCAGATACTTACACGTGCCATGGAGAAAAACAGGGCAGACAATAGAATAGCAAGGGCAAGAACCAAAGGTGAAAATGTAATTTTAGGGGCACCTGGGTGGCTCAGTCGTTAAGCGTCTGCCTTCGGCTCAGGTCGTGGTCCCAGGGTCCTGGGATCGAGCCCCACATTGGGCTCCCTGCTCTGCGGGAAGCCTGCTTCTCCCTCTCCCACTCCCCCTGCTTGTGTTCCCTCTCTCGCTGTGTCTCTCTCTGTCAAATAAATAAATAAAATCTTTAAAAAAAAAAAAAAAAAGAAGTACTACACGCACCTGGGCAACCTCTTCCACACCAACAAGCCTGTGTGCGAGGAGACGCCATTATTCCCACCAAGAAACTCTGCAACAAGAGAACAGCCTGTCACACGTCAGATGGAGCGGATTCAGAGAGGCCCAGTGAGAGGGGTTTCCACCAAGCTGCAGGAGGAGGAGAGAAAGGAGGGAGAATTCCATTCCTGAGGTCTCAGCCTGGGGGCAGGAGATCATGGAAGTGGATCCTGACACTAAGGAAATGTTGAAGGTCTTGGACTTTGGCAGTTTGCCCAAACTGCAGGTCACTCAGCCTAGAGTTGGGATGAATTTCAAAACACCTTGTGGAGCCATTTGAATCTTTCTGCTGTAATATCATCAATAAACCTTGGACAACAACAACAACAACAAAAAACAAAGCAAATAACTTGTGTAGCTAATTGCCTCTTTCCCAAAAATGACTGAAAAGCAACACCAGCCCAAGATGTAAGTGTAAAATGGATGTTTGGTTGCTGGGCTTTTTTTTTTTTTTTTTTTAAGGTTTTATTTATTTATTTGAAAGAGAGAGAGAGAACGAACTGGGTGAGGGGCAGAGGGAGAAGCTGAGCTCCATCTCGGGACTCCGGGATCATGACCTAAGCCAAAGGCAGACGCTTAACCAAGTGAGCCACCCAGGCGCCCCTTCTTTTTTTTTAAACTTGGTTTCTATTGTTTAAATTACAGAAGGAAAATCTGTTTTTTTAAATTTATATATGTATGTATATAAGTAAGTAAGAAATCTCTACACCCAACATGGGGCTAGAACTCACAACCCCAAGATCAAGAGTCATATGCTCTACTACTGAGGCAGGCAGGCACCCCTACAGAAGGCAAATTCCTCCTTGTGTGTGAGGATTTTTCAAGAGGGATAAGTGGACAAGGCTCTGGTCTCAACATATAATCAGTACCCATTTTGTTTTCAATGTCACTAAAGTACAGTTAATTGAGAACTACTCCACTTTTGGTCTTTCCTCTCCTGCTATAGATTTCTTAAGAAAAAAATTTCTTATTTTTAGCCTCTCTTACACCTCCCTTTTTAAAAAAATTGTTTTTTAAAGATTTTATTTATTTATTTGACAGAGAGAGACACAGCGAGAGAGGGAACACAAGCAGGGGGAGTGGGAGAGGGAGAAGCAGGCTTCCCACCAAGCAGGGAGCCCGATGCGGGGCTCGATCCCAGGACCCTGGGATCATGACCCGAGCCGAAGGCAGACGCTTAACAACTGAACCACCCAGGCGCCCCTTTAAAAAAAAATTTCACATTCTCTATTATTTGATAAAAGGTAAACTTCAAAACATTCCGAAATAATATAGTTGAAGGTTTAACTTTATTATTTCCCCATTATAAAAGTAATGCATATTAATTATGTAATAAAAGGGAAGAGCACAAAATGTATAAAAAATTAATTTTAAATTGCCTATAATCCCATCCCAGGGAAAATTATTAATATTTGACATATTTCATTTTATCAGTCTTCTATGTATGAACACCACTCAGATATTACTATATACAAAGTCTTGTATCCAGCTTTTTCAATATAGCATTATATTAAAATTATCTTTTCTCATAGCAATAAAAATCTTGTTTGTAAACATAATTCTAATGGCAGAGTACCATTCCATCATCTGGATATACTGTAGTTTATTTAAATATTCTCCTAGTAGCAAATATTTAATTAGAGAGTTAGTGGATCAAGGCACAGAAAGGTTGTTAAGTCAGTCTGTTCTTGAAAACACAGGAAGGGAATGCACAGAGACGGGGCGGCGGGGGGGCGGGGGGGGGTGGTCAGGGCCAGCAGCAAGGAGGAGGAGGAGGAGGCTCAGAGGTCCCGGCCTAGCCTTTCCAGCTCGTTGAGAAGGAAGTCCATATCAGCCCGGGTCAGCGCAGGGTTGGCCACAACCATGCGGAAAAAGTTGCCCCGGGTCCCATGGGGCTGGTAGCTGATCATCATGGAGCCCTCCTTCACCATGCGCTCCTTGAGTACTGGGGCCACCTGTGGAAGGGTTGGAGAGAACTTCCAGCTGCAGCCTCAGTGCACGCTCCCCTAGGTGCACTTCCCTCTCGCTCAGGTACCTTTCTGAGGGAGCACTCATCGCTCAGCTCCTGACCCTGGCCCCAGGTCACCTTTCCCACTACATCCTGCCTGCTTGGCCTTCTCCAGCTTCTTCTTCTTTTTTTTTTTTTTTAAGATTTTATTTATTTATTTGACAGAGACAGAGATAGCGAGAGCAGGAACACAAGCAGGGGGAATGGGAGAGGGAGAAGCAGGCTCCCCACTGAGCAGGAAGCCCGATGTGGGACTCGATCCCAGGACCCTGGGATCATGACCTGAGCCGAAGGCAGACGCTTAACGACTGAGCCACTCAGGCGCCCCCTTCTCCAGCTTCTGCATTATTTCCTATCTTACCTATATCTCCAAGTTGTCACACGGGCCATTTTCTGCCAAATCCTGACTGTTCCCTGACTCCCAGCACTGCTCTACTCTAACATCTAGCCTTTGTCATCCTTAACACCTTCTTCTCCCCTCTCTGAATTCCTGGAATATCTGTGATCTGTACCCTGTAATCTAACATGTAATTTACAAGATTGTCTTGAACATATTGGTTTCAGATAGGTAACTCTAGTTTTCTAAATAACCCCTTAAGGGCAAGAACATTCTTGTCCTTTCAGATCATCTGCAGCACCTAGCACCAATCTATCCTTAGGGACAGGACGTATCTCCTTGCCTCTAGAAGGCATGTCTGGACCGGCCTTATACAGTTATTCTGCCCCCAGCATCAGGGAATAAGGCTTCATACGGCTGTCCTGGGCCCGAGCTCCCAGCAGAACTCCCATGGACTACGTACTACACACTGGTGACTTCTCCTGTAACATCCCTCTCTGTCTTCTTTTCATTTTCCAGAAACATACCTTATTTCCTATTCCCACCCCCACAGAAATGAGGACCAGTTGGGGTTGTCTTCCAGTTCACAGCCCCACCTCAGGAGCAAGACTAGCAAAGGGACCTGCCATGCCACTCACAGCCAGCAGGGGGCAGAAACACACCAGAAGCATCACAGTTCCCTAAAGTGGGCTATAACCAGAGACCAGAAGAGAGAGCCTACCTTAGCCAGCCTTTCACTATAATCCGGGCTCTCCTGCTTCCCCCGCAGGCTGGGGGGCACAAACCAGAAACACACATTGACAAACTCCGGCTGGGAGGAATGAGGGAGGAGAAGGGGTGAGCTGTGGAAGGGGGATGATCCTCCCTTACTGCCCCTCTTCCCCCATCAGGGCTTTGCTGTGTGGGATAGCCTGGGGTGGGGAGGAGGATGCATACCTCCATAACCAACTCAAATCCTTCTCGCTTCTTCAATTCCTCCACCAGGTACCTGCGAACACAGAGAGAGAGAGAGAAAGAAATCACACATGGAGGAGGAAAAGCAGAGACACAGAAGCAGAAGAGACGCAGAGAATGAACCCAGAAACCCCAAGAACAAGAAAAATGGGAGGAGCAGAGCAGTGGGTGGGGGCAGGACGGACCAGACGGAACGCCAGGGGAGAGGTAGGAGCGCCCCCACTCCTACCAGGCAAGGGCAAAGGCCTGGTCGATGCGCCGCTCCAGCCCTTGCCCGCCCTGTGCCTTCCACATGAGCCACAGCTTCAGACAGTCCACGCGGCGGCCACACTGCACCACCTTATCTCCAGTGTCCAGAGCCACGTCATAGAACTTGTCTTGCTGGAAGAGGTAGCTGGCCTGGGACCCGTGGCAGCGCCTAAGCAGGTTCTGTTGGTTGGGGTGGGGGGGAGTGTGGGGAAGACTGTCAGACCCCCCACACACACACCGAGGCCTCCTCCAGAGCTGCACACGGGGATTTCTTAGCTCAGACCACCCATTCTTTCCCTGCCACTAGGCCCCTTTCTCTGGGTTTTCTCCCAATACCCAGAATTCTTCCCAGATTCAGCCTAGGATCCCTTCAATTACAACTGCAAGCTGGAAACCTCTTCCTTTGCTTGAAGACAGGCCACAGTGGGGGGGGGGGGGGGGGCAGTACAGGGGATGAGGCTGGTCACGGATACTGGGCTTCAGACGGGATGGTGAGGAGGACATAATAAGGCCAGGACCCTCTCGAAGGTGGGCCAGAGAAAAAAACAGAGATCCAGGGTGGGAGGTGGAGTGAGGAGAGGGCAGGGCCGACCCACCGAGGTATCCCGGAGAAGAAGAGCTGAGCACTGCAGGCCTGCTGTCAGAAGCTTGTGAGGATTCCAGGCCACCGAGTCAGCCCTGCAGGGGTAGGGGTCGGGGGGGCAGAGCAAAGCTGGATCAACTGGCTGCTCCTCAACCAGAGCCCCCCTCCTTTACCATATCTTCAGTGAAGGGGCTTGAGTCTCACCCCGGCCCAGCAGTCAGGAAGAATTCCCACGTCTGATGTCTGACTTCCCAGCCCCAGTCCACCATCTCTCCAGCGCCCCTCCCACCAACCTCCTTCCCTCCTTCTCATCGGAAGAGCCCTAGTCCAGGACTATTCTCTGGGTCAAGGAATTGAAGGGTGGGATTCAGGAAGTAGGTGGCCGTATGCACCTCTGGATCCCATCCAGGAGATGTCTATGTGTCTGTGACAACAGGACGCTCCCACCCCAGGCGGCCTGTGGAGCAAAAGGAATAACGTGGGCCTTGGCCTTGGCTGAGCCCACCCCCCCCTCAGGCCCAAGGCTCACTCACATCCACATGCAGCCACAGCCCGAGACGCTGGCACACGTCAGCAATCGCGTTCAAGGGGTCAAAGGCCCCCAGCACGGTTGTGCCAGACGTCGCACTGACCAGGAACGGCACGGCACCCTGTGGCAACAACGCAGGAGGAGACAGAGACTGTGAAGGGATCTAAAAAGCCACCCAGGTTCTAGGGCCGAGGCGTCTCTAACTCTTACTGCAGGCCTGGCCTGGGCCCTTTCAACCTTACAACATGCTACCGTCCCCCTTAGTTCGCAGGTGAGGACACTCAGATTCAGAGGTGTTAAGAAATTCACCCCCAAGCTGAAGCTCCGGAGATGGAATTCAATCCTAGGTCTGTCTGCTGGTCTATTTCCAAAGCTCACACACTTCCAAAAACTTTTAGTGTCTTGAAGATCAAAATGCTATTTAAAAAATTCTAATGGTACAAAAGTTCATGAAGAACTTGAATTTTTATCTTTAAAAACGACCACAAGGAAAAGCCCAGGCCCATATGGCTTTGCTGATGAATTCTATAATAATTTAAAAAAGAACTGATACCAGTTCTTCGCAAATATTCTAAAAAACAGAAGAGGAACACTTCTGAACTCATCCTATGAGGCAAGTATTACCCTGATACCAAAACTAGATGAAACATCACAAGAAAACCTCAGACAATATCTCTTTGAACATAGATATAAAAATCTACAAAACACTAGCAAACCAAAATCAGCAACATATAAAAAAATTGTGTTATGACAAAATAATTTGTCCCAGGAGCACAAGCTCAGTTTAGCATCCAAAAATCAATTAATGTAATACACTCTTTTTTTTTTTAAAGATTTTTTAAATTTATTTGACAGAAAGAGAGACAGTGAGAGAGGAACACAAGCAGGGGGAGTGGGAGAGGGAGAAGCAGGCTTCCCGCCGACCAGGGAGCCTGATGCAGGGCTCAATCCCAAGACCCCAGGATCATGACCTGAGCCGAAGGCAGACGCTTAACGACTGAGCCACCCAGGTGCCCCAATGTAATACACTCTTATCAACAGAATAAAGGGGAAAAAAACACATCTCAATAGACACAGAAAAACATTTGACAAAATCCAACACTCCTTCTTGATGAAAATACTCAACAAACTAAGAGTTGAAGGGAACATTCTCAACCTAATAAAGGGCAACTACAAAAAACCCACAGCTAATATCGTACTCAAAGCTGAAAGACTGAAGGCCTTCCCCCTAAGATCAGGAACATGACAAGGATGCCCACTCTCCCCACTTCTATTCAACATTATACTAAAGTTCTAGCAGGGCAATTAGGTAAGAAAATAAAATAAGGGGCATCCAGATTGGAAAGGAAAAAAGCAGAAGCCCCACATTGGGTGTAGAGATTACTTAAAAATCATAAACAAACAGGGGCGCCTGGGTGGCTCAGTCGTTAAGTGTCTGCCTTCGGCTCAGGTCATGGTCCCAGGGTCCCGGGATCAAGCCCCACAATCGGGCTCCCTGCTCGGCCTAGAGCCTGCTTCTCCCTCTCCCACTCCCCCTGCTTCTGTTTCCTCTTTCGCTGAGTCTCTCTCTGTCAAATAAATAAATAAAATCTTTTAAAAAAATAAAAATTAAAACAATCATAAACAAACAAATAAATAAATACAGAGGACCTGAATGGACATTTTTTCAAAGAAGACATACAGATGACCAACAGACACATGAAAAGATGCTCAACATGACTCATCATCAGGGAAATGCAAATCAAAACCACAATGAGATATTACCTCACACCTGTCAGAATGGCTAGAATTGAAAAGACAAGAAACAAGTGTCGGCAACAATGTGGAGAAAAGGGAGCCCCTGTGCCGTTGGTAGGAATGTAAACTGGTGCAGACACTGTTCCTCAAAAACTTAAAAATAGAATTACCGTATGATCCATAATTCCACTACTGAGTATTTACCCAAAGAAAATGAGAACACTAATTTGAAAAGATATATGTACCCCTATGTTTATTGCAGCATTATTTACAGTAGTCAAGATATGAAAGCAACCTAAGTGCCCATCAATAGATGAATAAAGAAGATGTAGTATACATATGTGTGTGTGTGTGTGTGAGCGTGCATGGAATATTACTCAGCCATAAAAAGAATGAGATCTTGCCATTTGCAACAACATGGATGCACCTAGAGAGTATAATACTAAGTGAAATAAGTCAGACAGAGAAAGACAAAAACCATATCATTTCACTTATATGTGGAATCTAAAAAACAAAACAAATGCACAGAGAAGGAAAGAAACAGACTCAAACACAAAAAACAAGCTGGTGGTTGCAGAGGGGAGGTTGGGGGAGACGGGTGAAATAGATAGAGTGGATTAGGAGGTACAACCTTTCAGTTATAAAATAAACAAGTCATGGGGATGAAAACACAGCATAGGGAGTCTAGTCAATAATACTGTAATAATGCATGGTGACAGATAATGAGTACACTTATCGTGGTGAGCACTGAGTACTGTATAAACAGAACTGTTGAATCAATAGGTGGTACACCTGAAACTAACTTCACACTTTATATTAATCATACTTCAATTGAAACAAACAAACAGACTAGGAAAAAAAGAAATAACAAGTGTTGGTGAGAATGTGGAGAAACTGGAACCCTCATCTGCTGCTGGTAGGGCTGGAAACTGGTACAGCCACTTTGAAAAAACAGGCTGGCAGCTCCTCAAAAGTTAAATACAGAATTACCAGATGAGTCAGCAATTCTGTCCCCAGGTATATAACCAAGAGAAATGAAAAACATACGTTCACACACACTTGTACACAAATGGTCAGAGGGGCGTTACTCAGAATTGCTAAAAAGTGGAAACCCAAATGTCCATCAACTGATGAGCAGATAAATGAAATGTGGTAGATCCAAAACAATGGAATATTATCCAGCAATGAAAGGAATGAAGTGCTGAGAGACTCTACAAGGACGAACCTCGAAGACAGTATGCTAAGTAAAAGAAGTTCATCACAAAAGACCATGCATGGTGTAAGTCCATTTATATGAAAAATCTACAATAGGCAGATCCATCGAGACACAAACTCGCTGAGTGTTGCCTAGTAGGAGGTTTGGGGAAAATTGGGGATTGATGGCTAAAGGGTGTGTGGTTTCTTTTTGGGGGTGATGAAAATGTTCTTTTTTTTTTTTTTAAAGATTTTATTTATTTATTTGACAGAGAGAGACACAGTGAGAGAGGGAACACAAGCAGGGGGAGTGGGAGAGGGAGAAGCAGGCTTCCCGCAGAGCAGGGAGCCCGATATGGGGCTCGATCCCATGACCCTGGGATCATGACCTGAGCCAAAGGCAGATGCTGAACGACTGAGCCACCCAGGCACCCCAAAATGTTCTAATATTTATTGTAGCGATGGTTACATAACTCTGTTAAAAACAACTGAATTAGGGGCACCTGGGTGGCTCAGTTGGTTAAGCGACTGCCTTCGGCTCGGGTCATGATCCTGGAGTCCCGGGATCGAGTCCCGCATCGGGCTCCCTGCTAGGCGGGGAGTCTGCTTCTCCCTCTGACCCTCCCCCCTCTCATGTGCTTTCTCTCTCTCATTCTCTCTCTCTCAAATAAATAAATAAAATCTTTAAAAAAAAAAAAACAACAACTGAATTGGACACTATAAGTGGGTGAATTGTACGGCATGTGAACGATATCTCAATACAGCAATTACCAAAAAAAAAAAAAAAAAAAGGATTTATTTGTACAATAAAAGTGGTACTCCACTATTCTAGTTGCTGCTCACACTGCTACTCAGAGGTAACATCAATATATCAATAAGTATACATTATTCTAAATAACCATAGGTTCTGGGGCGCCTGGGTGGCTCATATCTGCCTTCGGCTCAGGTCATGATCCCAGGGTCCTGGGATCGAGCCCGCATAGGGCTCCCTGCTCAGTGGGGAGCCTGCTTCTCCCTCTCCCTCTGCCCCTCCCAACCCCTGTGCACGCTCTCTCTCTCTCTCTCAAATAAATAAAATCTTTTTAAAAATTTTTAAAAAGTAAAAATAAATAACCATAGGTTCAAAGTGTTTATTCTGTACTGTAACATGCTATATATACTTTATATAGGTTTACTTAAATATATAGTGCAGGTATTTTCATGTTGGTATACATATACCCACCTTATTCTTTTAAATGGCTATGCAGTACTCCAATAATAACAATAAAAACAATAATGGGCAGTAGTATTTATATAGTCCTTCACTGTTCCAAGTGCATTTATACTAACTCATGTAATGTTTGCAAAAACCCTATGTGATAAGTTCTATATTATGCTCAGTGACTCAGGCTTGCTCCTGACTCTTGGGGTCTGGTCCTGCCCATGGGTCTCGGCAAAGTCCCCAAGAGCAGCATAGAGTGTCCTCATTCCTCAGGCTTCCCACTGATTACTTCAGCCCACAGGGGAGATGGGCACAGAGGTCAAGAAGAGGGATTGAGGGCGCCTGGGTGGCTCAGTCGTTAAGCGTCTGCCTTCGGCTTGGGTCATGATCCCAGGGTCCTGGGATCGAGCCCCACATCCGGCTCCCTGCTCTGCGGGAAGCCTGCTTCTCCCTCTCCCACTCCCCCTGCTTGTGTTTCCTGCTCTCGCTGTGTCTCTCTGTGTCAAATAAATAAATAAAATCTTTAAAAAAAAAAAAAAAGAAGAAGAAGAGGGATTGAGCAGCACCTTGAGTGGGGAGAGCCCAGGGAAGCCTCCAAGAAAAGACCAAGGGGTTCTGCTCCACTGTCTCAGCGCCCCTCACTCACTCACCTCAGCCTCGGCCAGACTGATCTGCCTCTCCAGATCCTCAGGAACCATTTTCCCTCTGGAAAAGAAAACTGATTGGGTAAAGAAGTAATTGGTTTTCTCAGCTAGGAGGCAGAACTGTTGAGAGCAGGGTAATGTGGGGTTAGCTACACAGAGGCCATAATGTTGATTTTTTCCTAAGAGGGGTAAGCGGACCTCAGGGGACAGGGCGAGAGACTCCAGCAGGCATTGACAGACAGAAGGGGCAACTGTGTAGGAACAGAGAGGGGAGAAAAGCCCACTTGGGGCATGGGCCTGAGGCCAGAGCTTCTAACAGCAGGAGGGCGTGCTGTGCCAGGCTGGGTCTGAGCCATGTGAACAGAAGGACCTTTACCTCTCATCTGTCTTGACTACTCGGACACTGTTGGTGCCAAGTCCCAGAAAAGCAGCTCCCTTCTTGATGGAGTAATGACACTATGGAGAAAGGCAGAGGGCAGATTAGGCTAGAGGCAAGAGGGCAGGGAGGATAGGGAGGAGAGAGACACTGGTAAATGTGTGAACTGCAACAGATAAGACTCTGAAGACCGAGGCTTCTCGAATGTTCGAATGTTCGTGTGCCTCCAAATCACTAGGATGTCTGGTTCAAATGCAGATTCATATTCAGCGTGTCTGGGGTGGGGCCTGCGAGTCTGCATTTCTGACAAGCTCCCAGGTAATACTGCTGCTACTAGTCCACAGACCACACTCTGAGTAGAAAGGGTGTGGACTATGTCTGTGGCACTCATTGTCCCTTTGCTACCTCCACTCAGAAGGCAAGGTGAACAGGAGCGTTTACTCGGCCCCTTGACTAGAAGGAAGCACTTCTGCCTGGAGGCAGGCTGGCCCTGCAGATGGGTCTGGGCAGGCAGACTCAGCTGGCTGGACATTAGCATCAGGAGCCCAGGGTAGGTCTATGCCTCTTCCCACCTCCTTTGATGTGAAGAGTGCCAGGGGTGGGAGCGCCCGGAGGCCCCTCTGCTTGCAATCCGGGTAGCGCTGATAGCGGGCCAGGTTCATGGCATACATGTTGGAGATGGAGCCACCTGTCGCAGGGAAGGTGGTAAGAGGGAGGAGCCGTGGGTCAAAACTGGAGCTTGCTCCCCCTGACCTCTCCACCCAGGAGAGCTGATCAAAGAAGCATGAGTGATAGGCTCCCAGGGATCTCCGAAGGGCCTGCTGATAACCCCAAACAGCCCCAGGATTCGCAGATCCCCCGGACTACTCCCCTCCATATCCTGGGCTGACCCAGGACAGGGCCTCCCCTCCCCAGAGCAGGCACTGGAGTGCTGATCCCAGGGACTGTTTGGCAAACATGAGGATACAGGGGACTGGGCAGCTTCTCTCAGGTTTGGCCCCAGCCCAGCTGGAGAGGAAACAAAGAGGAATCCCTCCCTGCCAGCATAGAGCAAGAAAATCGTGGGGGAGGAGGAACCCTCAAAAAGACCAAAGAGAGCCCCCCCCTCCTTCTCACATACCAGGGCAGAAGACCCCATCCCCAGAGCTCCAGCCCACCAGGGCCCGGAGTTTCTTCAACACCTCTTCTTCCATGAGCACAAACACGGGGGCGATTTCATAAGTGTACCTGCCAGGAGAGGGGGGGGATGAGAAGGGAAAAGAGGAAGGAAGGCTAGCCAGGTCCGACTCTCAGAGGAGTAGGGAAAGGAGGTGGGGACAATGAGGAAGGAAAGGTCCAAAGGGAGGAATGACCTGGTGACCAAGAGCCAGGGAAGCAAGAATGAGGAAGAACTGGGGGTCAGGAGGCATGAGAAAGCTGGGAGAAAGGGAGCCCAAAGGGTACAAGGAGAAAGATTGCCAGCAGAGATGCCAGGAAACGGGGGGGGGGTGCAAAACCATTCTCCTCCCTACCCCTGGGGTATGTCTCCAGCAAATCCAAGCCTTTGTGAGGTGGGGGTAAGGGGCCTCGGGTTGACTCACTGGCTGGTGTTGAGGCTCTCAGTGACAATGCGCCCTGCCAGAGCATGGGGATCCAACCCTGAGAAGAGCTGGTTGAAGAAGTGCGGGTGACCTGGAGAAGGCGGGGGGGGCAGGGAGCTCAGAGTGCAGCTGCGGACAGACAAACGGACAACTCCAGACCTTCCTCCCGCCACAGCCCAGGACCCACAGGTCTTCACACTATAGCGGATCACCTCCCGGCACCGTGCCAGGATCTGCTCCGACGCCTCGCCCTGGCTGCGCAGCTCCAGGTCCAGCAGCTGCTTCAGCTCCTCAGGCTCCTTCCACTCGCAGACCTGGCGGGAGAAGCAGGAGGTTCTGGGGGCCCATGGACACCCCCATTGATTGGCTTCCCAAACCACCTCTCAGCTTGCACATAAAACGAGTTAGGAATATTTCCAAAGCAACTCATGAACAAGGGTAAATATACACAGTATGACCCAGCATATAATCCCTGATGCATTCAGCAAGACTGATGAATTCTGGGCTGAAGCCTTGTGGGAGGAGGAAAGTTCTGAGCCAGGAATGATGGGCAGGAGGAGAGGGAAAGGACCCACCTTCTCGGAGGCACTGGTCCCTTTCCGAATGACCTCATCCACAACAATCCCAAACACATCCCGGAGCAAGGCTTCTGCAGCCATGGGGTCCCCATCAAGGGAGAAGAGTGGTTTAGAGTCAGCCATCAGGATAAAATCTGTGAGCAAAGCAGGAGTTACTCCCTAGTCAGCCCAGTGCATCCCACCTGGACCTAACCAGCAAGAACCGCAACCGCAGAGCAGGCCTCCGGCCCCTGTCCTGCAGCTGAGTCCCAGCCTTCACTGTACAGACAAGGGCAAGCAAGCGCCCAGGGAGAACGTCAGCAGCAACAGGTGGGGAAGAAAAAGGCAGTGAGTGCTGAGCAGGTGGAAACTTGCGGTCACTGCCTGCCTCAGGCAAAAACGACAGGCTTACCTTTCCACTCAGGTCTCTGTTCAGGTGCGCTGGAGGCAGGGCACGCGACTAGCTTTTGAGAGTGTTAGGACCAGGACAGCGGAGGGGGTGAGGTACAGGCAGCACTCACGTGACCATGAGATCACTCTCATGACCCTTGCCCTGAAGAGAACTTAGAGATTTGGGATAGGGACAACCGGTTGAGATAAGTCCCTGAATAATCATTAGCTGACACGAAGAAGGGGGAAATGCAATGAAAGGCAGAAGCATTAACACCAGGGTTGAGCGAGCAGCCAGGAAGAATCACTGTGAAGTGGAGAGCTGGAGAGGGGACTTAGTGGAGAATGTTTGGCAGGAACCTGCTGCCCCTGACCCTGAAGACAGAAGGGGAGGGAGCCTGAGATAGGTGGAGGTGAAATGCTTTATCTCTTTGCACCCCCACCCCCAAAGAACCAGCCTGATTTCTAAAGCCCTCTCCTAGAGCAGGAAGGAAAGGGGGTATGTTGAGGAAGGATTTTGTTAAACAAGTGTAATCCTGGGCTTTGCAGCCTGAGAGTGCTCAATACACAGAAAGCGGTTGTCTGAAGTGAGCACCAACTGTGTTCATGACAGGGTGCTCGGGACTGAGAAAGTCTCCCTGTCTGCTGGGAGGGCACAGATGCACGTGCAGCAGTCCCAGCCTGGGCTAGGCTGGACGCTGACCCCACGTGCTACTGAGGAAGAGAGATGGATGGAGGATGGCAGCTGAAGGCTGGGGAAGATCTGCAGCGGGGCTGGAGCTGAATCTTGAAAGAAGGCAGGAGAAATGAGATTAGCAAAAGGGAGAAAGAGAACATTTGGGGGTAGGGTGATGCCATGAGCTGACATGGGGAAGAAGTATGGCTTGAGGGAAGGTCAATGAAGGGCACCTGGCTGGCTGGAGGGAGGTCTGCAAGGATGATACTGGAGCAAAGGCGGGGTGGGCAGAGTTGTATCAGATTATGGGGAGCCCTGAGCCCCAGCCAGGCCCAGGGATCTAGATTTTATCCTGCAGAAAACAGGAACTCATTGGGGCACCTGGGTGGCTCCATCAGTTAAGTGTCTGCCTTCAGCTCAGGTCATGATCTCGGGGTCCTGGGATTGAGCCCCATGTGGGGCTTCCTGCTCAGCGGGGAGTCTGCTTCTACCCCTCCCCCTCCCACTCATGCTCAAGCTCTCTCTCCCTCTCTCAAATAAATAAAATCTAAAAAGAAAATAGGAACTCACTGAAAGACGAAAGACTTGGTGGCAAGGAATAATGTGATGAAACTGATGCTCAGACCAGTATACAGCACAGGATGTAGAATTCACAGGGTGTTGCTGTAAACCAGGCAAGAAGCGATCCACATCTGAATAAGGGTGGTGTGGGTAGGAAAGGACAGAGGAATGAGGAGGTCGGCCCAAAGCTCTGATGAGCTGTTAGAACAGAAAGCAGATTTGAGAATCAGGGTACAGCTGAAGCCTTGTGACGGGCTCCATTCCCCATGGGAGAAAATGTTCGGAGAGATGGCCAGGAGGAGGGGAAAACACTAAGGCCTAGGAACCCCCCAAATGAGTGGGCGAGAGGGTCAAGGGACTATGAAGAAGAAACTTCCTCAAAGTGGGTTGCTCTGATTTAATCCACTGTCAGCAGCCACTGGACCCCATACTAGTTGAAAACACAGGTTCAAGGAACCCTAGCGGTCCAACCCTTAAACTTTTCCTCAGTAGATTGGGTTTGGGGGACAGAGGGAGCTGGCCCAAACCCTGAGAATGAAAGAGCCAATCCTTTATCCGTGTCACTTTAGCTCCCCTGACAGGTGGCAGCAGGGGGGCGTTTGGGTGGAGAGGCTTGAGGGGGAGAAGCAAAGAAAGATAGGTACCAACGAAGCACTTACCACATGCCACACTCTGTATTTAATATGTATTATTATCACCTTTACAATTGTTCAGGTAAGTTTATTGCCCACATTTAAACTGAGATTCCAGAGATGCCATGTATGTAACTGGTTCAGATCACACAGCCAGCACCTGGCCATGCCGGGTCTGAACCCAGGCGTGGTGGGCTCTGAAGCCCCTGCCCCTAACCATCATGCTTGATTGCCTCTCTCGAGGTTCTCAGGCCCTGAGTTTGCTGTCCTGCAAAGACCACTGGGCCAGGAGTGAGGACACCTCAGGGCCTCCGTTTCTATAGAATAAGTTTTCAAGAGAGACCCTCCAAGGCATCTGCTGGCGTTCACAGGAACTCAGGCCAGGAGATATGACAAGCAGGCCAAGGGAGAATTTTCTGAGTAGGGGGCTAGAAAACAGGTTCCAAGAGGTTTGTAAGGAGGGAACAACTGGTTAACAAAGGGAGTCTCCTAGCAGGAGGAACGCTTTTCCCCAAGCTCCAAAGAATGGGTCTCTAGGGGAGACTCCATCCTCCCCTCCCAGGACCTTCTTTATCCTTTCCACCTCAGTCACAGCTCAGAAATGAAATCTGGAGGACTCTGAACACTCCCGGTTTCTTCCAGGGATAAACAAAGAAGTGAGACATTATCATCCTTGTTCCATATACAGAATCCTGCCCTGGGTACCTGAGAGAGGGAAGAGCCCCTGCCTGCAAAGAGTTTTTCTTTTCCTTTTTTTTTAATTTATTTATTTGAGAGAGAGAGAGCTCGCATGCGCGAGCGTGGGAATGGAAGGAGGGGCAGAGGGGGAAAGAGAGAATCTTCAAGCAGACTCCCCACTGAGCGCAGAGCCTGACTCAGGGCTTGACTCAGGGATCAATCCCACAACCCATGAGACCATGACCTGAGCCGAAACCAAGAGTTGATGCTCAACCAACTGAACCACCCCAAGAGTTTTTTTTTTCCTTTTATTTATTTAAAAATTTTTAAAAGATTTTATTTATTTGACACAGAGAGAGAGAGTGCAAGCAGAAGGAGCAGCAGGCAGAGGGAGAAGTAGGCTCCCTGTTGAGCAAGGAGCCCGATGTAGGGCTCGATCCCAGGACCCTGGGATCATGACCTGAGCCGAAGGCAGACACTTAACCGACTGAGCCACCCAGGCACCCAGAGTTTGTTTGTTTTTTTTTTTTTTTAAAGAAGAATGATGTTAACCTGCAAAATAGAATGATAAAGCAAAGAAACCTGAATGGAGTTAGGAACAGGGCTTCAGCCCCAGGCTGAGAAGATGCTGGTAGGACCAAGTAGGGTTTGTTAAAAAATTCACGTTTCTTCAGACTTCATGGGATCTCTAGTCCATCAACTCCTCTAACCATCAACTCCCTCATATCTTTCTTTCCTTCGCTTATGCAACCTAGATTGTATGTTTTGTTGTTTCAACCACTCTTTGTGCAAAATCCTCAACTCCTCGGCCCTTTGGTCCTTCCACCAAACCCACCTGGGGAAACTCCAATCCAACTGGCCAATCCTTCTCTTACCAAATCCACCAGGACTGCTGGATTCTGCTAGTAAAAGCCACTCAACCATTCAAATTGATATTGCTATACATTCATGGTCTCTGTGCTCATTCCAATTAAACACAGCAGATTAAACACCTACATTTACCACTATTCCTTCCTGAAACCCAACTAAAATTACATCAGTGGAATTTTAAATTCAGAAGAATAGGGGCGCCTGGGTGGCTCAGTTGTTAAGCATCTGCCTTCGGCTTGGGTCGTGATCTCAGGGTCCTGGGATCAAGCCCCACATCGGGCTCCCTGCTCTGCCGGGAGCCTGCTTCTCCCGCTCCCGCTCCCTCTGCTTGTGTTCCCTCTCTCTGTGTCAAATAAATAAATAAAATCTTTAAAAAAAATAAAAATAAAAAATAAATTCAGAAGAATAAAGCAAATGAGGAGAGATGAGAGATGTCAATAATCGCAGAAGATAGAAAGCAGATGAGAAGTGGTAACTGGTTTAGCACATGGCAGAAAGCCAAAACCAGTATGTCCTTGTAAGGCTATGCCAATGGGAAACAAGCTGGTTCTTGGGGCAGAAGCCCAGAAAGGCTCAGGAATTGGAAACATTAGCCATCTTGGAAGGCAGGAAGGATTTGTAGAAGTGTGTATAAGGAACAATTAGACCCTCACTCTCCTCCCCCTATCTATTCAGTCAGGCAACAACCCTCCTTTCCCCCTGCTTCCAAAGAAGCAAGAGATCTGTTTTCTAGAGCAACTGAAACAGGTAGGGTGGGACTTAGGGAGGCCAGGACTTAGAGACTTGAGGCACAGCAGGTGAGCATGAGGCACTGCCCCAAATACAGGAGGATTAGGAGGAAGTTACTATCAAATCAACTTCTTTCTCCTAACCAGCATTCAGAACCAGTGGCCAGGGGTAAACCCTCCAGGGCCAGCAGACTAGAGGATTCCTCTCCGGAGAAATTGACCCTCGATAGCCCTGGAGAAAAGACCTCCTGATGCTCTTATTTCAGTCCTCACCTGATCTCCTGGTCAGTGGTGCCCACAAGTCAATATGGCCTATCCATGCACTTCGGCCTTCCAATATGCCTTCATGCCTTCCTCTTCAATGTGAGCAACCAACTAGCCAGAGATTACCAGACACTACAGGAAAGCCCCTAACCTGAACCACAGAGGTAAAAACAGGCAAACTGAAAAAAGGCATTTGGTTGAAGAAAAGAAATGCAGGGAGAAGAAAGCCTCAAAATTTCCAGAAGATATTGCATTCATTAAAAAATAGGTCGCCCTCAAAAAGGAATACTCAGAGAACAGCAAGAAACTCTAGGATTTTAAAAATATGACAACTGAAATGAAAAATTAGAAATAAAACGATGCCAAGAAAATCACACAGAAAGATAAAAATATAAAGAGATGGACAAAGAAAAGAATTTTAGATCAATCCAAAAGGCCCAATAGTCAAGTAATAGAAATTTCAGAAAAGGAAGGAAAAAAGGGGAAAGAAATCAAAGAAAGCTTTATAGAACAGAAGGATAGATTAAAAGGATCCACTGAATGACCAATACAAAGATAGATTATAATATTGTCTTAGAACAGTGGAGGATCCAAAGACTTCCAAAGATAAAACAAAACAAATAAACCAAAACTGGGTCATAGACAAAAGACAGAGAATCAGACCAAATCGAACACCTCCAACACAGGAGAGAGGTGAAAGGAATCCAAAGGGCTGTAATGAAGGTAGTAACAATATTCAGAGGATAACAGCACTCAACTTTTTGTTATCTGCCTTCTGGACCGCCCCCTTCTCTTCCTCCCTTCCCTCTTTCAATTATTTGTTCAGTATCTAGTATTTGCCAAGCACTTTGGTGGCCACTAGAGATACAATGGAGAGCAAAAGACATAGACCCTGGGGTGCCTGGCTGGCTCAGTCAGCAAGTTCAAGTCCCATGTTGGGCACAGTGCTTACTTAATAAAATAAAAATTAAAAAAAAAAAAAAAAAAGAGGAAGAAAAGGCGATAGCCCTGTCCTCATGAAGCTCACAGTCTAAGCAAACTCACCGGTGAGCCAACTCTCAGGCACAGAGGTGGTTTTGTTTGGTTTGCATAGTATGTTGTTGTTTTTAAGTAATCTCTATGCCCAACATGGGGCTCAAACTCATGATCAAGAGTCACGTGCTCTATCAACTGAGCCAGCCAGGCACCCCTGTTTTAAAGCTTTAAAAATAATTGTCGGAGCGCCTGGGTGGCTCAGTCATTGGGCGTCTGCCTTCGGCTCAGGTCATGATCCCAGGGTCCTGGGATCGAGCCCTGCATCGGGCTCCATGCTCCGCGGGAAGCCTGCTTCTCCCTCTCCCACTCCCCCTGCTTGTGGTCCCTCTCTCGCTGTGTCTCTCTCTGTCAAATAAATAAATAAAATCGTTTTTAAAATAAATAAATAAATAAAAAATAAAAATAATTGTCAATACTGAAACTTCCAGCTTCTTAGGAAAAAAAAAACAAAAAACAGAAGGCCTAGCAACAGTAGGCCTAAATTACTAATTAGCAACAATTGCCTGTAGTTGCCCCTTTATTATTATTGTAGTTTTGCATTCGTTATGCTTTCTTTCCAATTTTTTTGTTCTTTTTTTTTAAAGATTTTATTTATTTATTTGACAGAGAGATAGTGAGAGTAGGAACACAAGCATGGGGAGTGGGAGAGGGAGAAGCAGGCTTCCCGCCGAGCAGGGAGAGCCCGATGCAGGGCTCAATCCCAGGACCCCAGGATCATGACGTGAGCTGAAGGCAGACGCTTAACGACTGAGCCACCCAGCCGCCCCATCCAATTTTTTTATTCTTGAGTAAGCAATACATTCAGGTAGCTCAAAAATCAAAATATATAAAAATATTAATGGTGAAAGTCCAATTCCCACCCCATTCCATGTGCCCCATTCCCACCTCCACCCCCACAGGTAACTTTTTTTTTTTTAAGATTTTATTTATTTATTCGAGAGAGAGAGAATGAGAGACAGAGAGCACAAGAGGGAAGAAGGCAGAGGGAGAAGCAGACCCCCTGCTGAGCAGGGAGCCCGATGTGGGACTCGATCCCGGGACTCCAGGATCATGACCTGAGCCGAAGGCAGTCGCTTAACCAACTGAGCCACCCAGGCGCCCCACAGGTAACCATTTTTAATAGTTTTTCAGAGTTTTTAATGCAAATACTAACAAATGTGGATATGTATTCTTATTTTCTCTTTTCACACAAATGATAGCATATAATCACTGATTTGAACCTTGCTTTCTTTCAGTTAATATATAGGTGATCCTTTATCAGTACATATAGAATTTCTATATTCTTTTTTTTAATCAAACAGCTTTATTGAGATGTAATTTACATACCATAAAACATAACCCTTTAAATTGTACATTTTCAGTGGTTTTTTGGATAGTAACAGAATTGCACAACAATCATCAGTAATTTCAGGACATTTTCATCACCCCCAAAAGAAACTCATTAGTGGTCACTCCTCATTCGCCATTTCCCATCCTTCCAGCCACCACTACCCTATTTTCTGCCCCTATAGATTTGCCTATTCTGGACATTTCATATCAACAGAAACATAGAATATATGATCTTCTTTTGAATATATGGCTTCTTTTACTGAACATAATGTTTTCAAGGTTCATCCATGTTGTAGCATATATCAGCACTTCATTCCCTTTTATAGCCAAATAATATTCCATAATATGGATACACTGCATTCTATTTAACCATTCACCAACCAATGGACATTTGGGTTCTGTCTATGTTTTGGCTACTGTGAACAGCGCTGCTATGAACATTAATGTACAAGTTTTTGTGTGGGTACATGTTTTTAAGTCTCCTGGGTACATATCTGATAGTGGAATCGCTGGGTCATACAGTAACTCTGTGTTTCAATTTTGAGGAACAGCCAAACTGTTTTCCAAAGTGCCAGTACCATTTTATATTCCCATCAGTAACGTATGAGCGTTCTAATTTCTCCACATCCTTGCCAGATTTATTATTATCTTTTTTATTACAGCCACCTGCATTTGTAATTTTGAGAAGGACTGCCAATATCCAGAGATTGTACCAGCATATGGAAGTGCTTGTGTTCTTAGACTCAGTAGCAGAGTATGCTGTCGAACTTCTGAATCTTTTTAGTTTGAGGACTCAGAAATGGTATCTTAGTATGGTTTTATTTTGGTAGAACACCTGCATCAGTCAGTTTTGCTGTGGTAACTAATGGTTTCAAAATCCCACTGGCTTGCAACAACAGAAGTTTATCTCTCTTTCCTGGTTTACACTGGTGGTGTGGTTGGCTACAGCTCTGATTCATGTGCCTTTATTCCAAGACCCAGGCTGAAGGAATAGCCCCTATCTGAGACACAATGTTCTCCTGGCAGGAGGAAAGGAGTAAAAGGCAGAGAAAACCATGCAACGACTCTTAAAACCTCTGCTTGTATCTGGCACAGGGCACATCTGCTCATACCCTGTTGACCATGGCAAACCCCAGGGCAGTGGGGTGAGGATGTATATTCCTCCCACAGGCAGGCGCTGGAAACATTAATGGCAATGGGTGAAGATGTAAACTCTCATCACAAGGTCATTGGACATAAGCCCTTAAAAGTTTGCATTCTGGGGGCGCCTGAGAGTCTCAGTTGGTTAAGCATCTGCCTTTGGCTCAGGTCATGATCCCAGGGTCCGGGGATCGAGCCCCGCATTGGGCTCCCTGCTTGGTGGGGAGTCTGTTTCTCCCTCTCCCTGCCGCTGCCCCTGCCCTTGTTCTCTCTCTCTGTGTCTCTCTCTGTCAAATAAATGAAATCTTTTAAAAAAATGTTTTTGCATTCTGTTTCGCCTCAGTCCACACCAGCCCACCTCACTCATTTGCATTACCTGCCTGGCCCCGTAGCTATCTGAGTTGGAACCACTGGCCTAACCACTGTCCTTTTCCCTCAGGGATTTCCTCCTGATTATCCCCTCATTTCTTCAACTCTCCTTCCTACTACCTCTTTCTCACAGCATTTTAAATTGTTTAAACCTCTCACATGTTCCCACTCTAGCCACCTCCTCATCACCACCAACCTTCTTTTTTTTTTTTTTTTTTTATTTATTCATGAGAGAGAGAGAGAGAGAGGCAGAGGGAGAAGCAGGCTCCCAAGGAGCAGGGAGCCCGATGCGGGACTCGATCCCAGGACCCTGGGATCATGACCTGAGCCGAAGGCAGACGCCCAACCATCTGAGCCACCCAGGTGCCCCACCACCAACCTTCTTAAAAGAGTCATCTCCACTCCATCTTTGCTTTCCCTCCTCTCACACTTTCCTCAGCCCACCAAGTCACCAAGAACTTCCAAATCCCATGGACACACATCACCTTTATCCTAGAAACATTTTATTTCCCTGGCTTCCATTGGATTACCACCAGCCCTTTCTTAGTTCCCTTTGCATTTTCACCTTCCTCTGGCCCTCCCTGAAATGCTAGAGTCCCTCGGGCCTTATCCCAGTGCATCTTTTATCTGTTGTATTCTGCACCACTCCCTGGGCAACTGATCTGTTCCTAGGGCTACCTGCCGGTAGTTCCTCCATTCCAAACCTCTCTCCTGAGTCCAGGTCCGTGAAGCCACCTTCCTAATTTAGAAGACTCATGGGCACTTCATACTCAGTAGGTCCAAAATTAAACTCAATATCAGCCCTCTCAAATCTGCTCTTCTTCTTAGGTTCCCTGGTTTGATGAATGCCATCATCTACTGTTTACTCAAACTTAGATTCTGACTGATTTCTTGCCTCCTCATCCTTGACTGATTTTTTTTTCCTTTTCATTTAATCTTCAAATATCGTTACATCTTTCTCTCTCTCTCTCATTCAAAAACATCAGCACAACAGCAAAACCGGAATAAAGCTTCACTTTTTTCCCCTTAGGGCTCTGTTGTAAAATTCTTTTCCTTAAAAACACTTTAAGAGGCACCTGGGTGGCTCAGTCATTAAGCATCTGCCTTCGGCTCGGGTCATGATCCCAGGGTCCTGGGATCGAGTCCTGCATCGGGCTCCTTGCTCAGCGGGAAGCCTGCTTCTCCCTCTCCCACTCCCCCTGCTTGTGTTCCCTCTCTAGCTGTCTCTCTCTCTGTCAAATAAATAAATAAAATCTTAAAAAAAAAAAAAACACTTTAAAGGGAAAAATGGTAACTTTATAGTGAAGAAACCTGGGGGACACCACCTTACCCAAGTGATCAAGGCAACATCACCAATAATGGGACAGACTGACATATGGCCCTCCTAATGTGAGGCATTGAGAAGCACGCAACATCACTCCTGTCACATTTCTGCCAAAAATGCATAACCCAAATTTAATTGTGAGGAAACAGATATATCTAAATTGAGGGTCATTCTACAAAACAACTAAACTGTTACTTTTCAAAAATGTAAATGTCATAAAACTCAAAGAAAGACTGAAGAACTATTCCAGAAACAGAGACATCACAATCAAAAGGAATGTGTGAACTTAAATCAGCTCCTGGATGAGGGAAAAAAAAAAAAAACTGCTATGAAGAACATTATTGGAACAACTGGTGGAAGCTGACTATGCACGGCATCATAAATATTAGTATTCTATCAGAGTTAAATTTCCTTAATTTGGTCATTGCATTGTGGTTATGTAAGAGAATGTTCTTATTCTGAGAAAACATACTGAAACATTTAGCAGAAAAGGAGTATGATATCTGCAACTTTCTCTCAGTTCAGAAAAAGACAACACTGTATGTATTTACAGGCATTTTTAGAAGAATAACAGCTTTATTGAGATATGATTCACATACCATAAAGTTCACCCTTTTAGAATGTACAATTCAGTGGGGTTTTTTTAGGATACTCACAAAGTTGTGCATCGTTCACACTATTTAATTCCAGAACATTTTCATCACCCCAAAGAGATACCTATTAGCAGTTGCTACCCATGCATTTTTTAAAAGACTGAAAAAGATGGAAAAAGCTTTCACAGTATTATTTATGGTTATTCCTGGCTGTCGAAATTATAAATTATTTTCATTTTCTTATTTATACACCTATACTTTTATAATTTTATATGATAACTTCATATTACTCATATAATTAAAGGTTATTTTTAACCAACAAGAAAAACTAAGGAGGTTAAGGAGCAATAAGAACTCCAAAATATACAAATCTCCAAGGCTCAAGAATGGCCCTAGTAC